CATCTGTTGTAATCTCTCTTCTTGTTTTTTTTTCTTTTTCCTCTAACAATTGCTGTAATCTCTCTTGTTTATTTTGTTGTTCGAGCTGCCATTGTTGCAGGTTTTCTTGCAACTGCTGTTGTCTCTCTTCTTGTTTCTTTTCTTTTTCCTCTAGCAACTGTTGTAATCTCTCATCTTGTTTCTTTTCTTTTTCCTCCAACATCTGTTGTAATCTCTCTTCTTGTTTTTTTTTCTTTTTCCTCTAACAATTGCTGTAATCTCTCTTGTTTATTTTGTTGTTCGAGCTGCCAATGTTGCAGGTTTTCTTGCAACTGCTGTTGTCTCTCTTCTTGTTTCTTTTCTTTTTCCTCTAGCAACTGTTGTAATCTCTCATCTTGTTTCTTTTCTTTTTCCTCCAACATCTGTTGTAATCTCTCTTCTTGTTTTTTTCTCGTTCTTCTTGTTTTTTTTCTTTTTCCTCTAACAACTGCTGTAATCTCTCTTGTTTATTTTGTTGTTCGAGCTGCCAATGTTGCAGGTTTTCTTGCAACTGCTGTTGTCTCTCTTCTTGTGTCTTTTCTTTTGGCCCGGCATGGCCAGGTGGTTAGGACGCTCGACTCGCAATCTGTGGATCGCGGGTTCGCATCCCCATCCCACCAAACATGCTCGCCCTTTCAGCCGTGAGGGCGTTATAATGTGACGGTCAATCCCACTATTTGTTGGTAAAAGAGTAGCCCAAGAGTTGGCGGTGGGTGGTGATGACTAGCTGCCTTCCCTCTAGTCTTACACTGCTAAATTAGGGTATATAAAAGAGGGTGACAACGTGACAGAATAGTGTGTGTGTAGGTAATGAGTAATTGAACTGCAGTCAGAGAGTATTATTGAACACGTTCGTTGTTATAGCGTTTGTTTTAGCGCGATTTTTGAAATTAAGTGTATCGTAAAGTTATATTCGGAAATAATAAACCAGTTTTATTAAGTAAGGACTTATGTCGCTAAAGTTTCGTCGGAACGAAGTTAGGGAAAATTAATTAACAAACGGAGACGTAAGAAATTTGTGTCAGAAGTGGGATAAAAAATGGAAACGAGAAGCGGCAAATCAAACTAAAGCATAGCAGACTTGATGGCAGCAATACAAGAACAGCAAAAGAAACAAGAAGAACGAGAAAATAAACAAGAAAAGAAAGAAGAAGAAGAACGAGAAGAGAAATTACAACAGTTGTTAGAGGAAAAAGAAAAGAAACAAGAAGAACGAGAAGAGAAATTACAACAGTTGTTAGAGGAAAAAGAAAAGAAACGAGAAGAGAAATTACAACACTTGTTAGAGGAAAAAGAAAAGTTTGTTTGTTTGTTTGTTTTGAATTTCGCGCAAAGCTACACGAGGGCTATCTCCGCTAGCAGTCCAGACTACCCTATATCTAGTAAATGCTAGAGCATTCGCCAAGGTACAGGATAGTTCTAGAAACGTGGCGTGACACTAGTCATGTGACTTCGCTGACGCAACAGTATGTATGGTTCTGTTACTTATTAATAATGTTTTGAAGGGTGTTTATTTAAAAATAAAACAAAAGTTAGTTATCTCAAAAGTACACGTTATTTTTTTAGTATAACATTATCCACACAACAAAGTTAACCAATGTGCAACTTTAGCATACTTCAAATTAAGTAAAGAAATAAGAAAAAAAGTGTAAACACATTCCATTCAGCAATTATGATGTAGATTTCAGTTTCCTTTCAAAAAATGATTCAATATTTTGATCTTGAAGAAAACCCCTTTAAATATTAATGTTCCTTCTCCACCTTCTTACCAGGTAAGAAAAAGAAGAAAAAAAAATCACCGAGTTAAAACTAAAAGTGTACTATGGGATAAAGGGTCAAATTCAAAGGGTGTATTATTTTTGTGGCTGGTTACTTTTTTGTAAATTTCATTTTGAAATATAATCATCGGGTTCGGAAAAGTGTTTATTTTTTTTAGTTGTATTCTAGATTTTGGCTGAAAGCACTTCCGCAGCTTTAACACTGTATTTTAACCAAGTTGATCAACAATATGTTTGCTAGCGCATAGCCCGTCAAAAATGGCGGAGCAAGTAATACCACCCCTACCCCATAGTGTACTCCAACCTCACATTTCATAGCTAACTGAAATAAATAAAGTTTGCGAAGTCAAGCTTGATCAACAGAGGCAGAAAAGCACATTCGAAACAGCCAAACATTAGTGAATTCCTTTGTGAGCCAATCAAAATTATGATCATTCATGAAATGAGTTTGCGGCATCTTCATATAACAATTCTTGGTAAAAATCAGTTAGATTAACATCTTCTAATATATAGAAAAACCAGTGCGTTTTGGTAACACAACGTTCCGACAACAGTATAACCTAATATTATTGTTAGTCTGTGCACTGCAAATATAAAATGAAATGTATAAACAACAAAAACTGGAAAAATATTTGTTGATTTCTTAATTTAAAGTATCCATTGATTAAAGAGGTTTTTTTTATATTAAAAACTTTGGCGATATAACAGAAAATAATTTAATTCAGAAACGATTTAAGTTTAAAATTGAATCGATATTTTTACTTTCATCATAAATTCTATGCACTTGTCTCTAGGTTAGGTGATCCAACACTCACTACACTTATAAGGTTTCACGGCACCACATCCCCCTTGCACCCCCGTCACTAGAATTGTAATGGACAGACAGTAATTGAATTATTCTATCTGGATAAATGCATTTTGGTTTTTATGACTCGTTCTATTTCGAGAAATCAAGCGTGATGTGACACACTCTGGCTTTTATATAGGTTAGATAAAGTTTATGTTTGTTCACACCTTTTAGCCGTCTGTTCCTTACACGTTTCCACAATACACATTTCTTGATCCAACAGCATCAAACTTAAATATATCTATGATTTTAACATCAAACTTGACAGACGTGATATAAGATGATGTAAAGAAGGTCATGAAGGAGTTGCCCCACCTTCTATATTTTATATAAATAAACGTCAGTATGTTTGTATCTGTCCCTTATACGTTTCCACATCATGTGAGGTGTTAGACCCCCGTCTAATTTCATATTGATAGCATTCTTGAAAACAGTACGTCTTTCTTTTCAGTATTGGTACATTTATGTATTTTAATTGCACTTTATATATATAAAACCAACTTCAAGATTTCTCTAGGTCTATCAACTCTCTCACTCTGGATTACTAATACAGGTAGAAAGAATCTTGTTGTGCTGAGCGTTACTAATGTTACGACAGCAGAAGTCGCGTGACGCTAGGAGCATGCGCGCTGGAGTTTCTAGAATTATCGGGGAGCCCCGCAAAACTCCGAGAATTTGCTAGACGCTCTCTTTTTTAGTATATAAGCTTGACAAAGAAAGCCAGCGAGATAGGCAGATAGATGGAAGAGATATGATAGATAATTGAGTCAAGCGAACAGTAGGCACAGTAAGTAAAGTGTGTGAATCACTGTGATTTATAGCGTG